GGGAGCTGGGGACGGTGCACGTGGAAGTGAAGGAGGTAGGACATTAGGGTGTGGGGGGCCAGGGGAGCTGCTGGGCTGGGCATAGTGTCACATCCTGGCAAGGACAGTAACCACTGGAAATATTGCATTTTTTCAGAACCCAGAAAGTGGCCAATGTGATTTTCGATATATATTTGTAGAAGTTGAATCCTACCCTAGAAGAACTATTGTCATTGAAGATAATCGATTCCAAGAAAATTAAGAAAAGCAATCATGCTGTTTCCAGATGGATGTGGACTGGTGCCAACTCACTGCTCTGCTCTTCCCAGCTGTCTTCCAGAAGCTGGTCAAAAGAATAAGACGGAAAGAGTGCACAGCTTATAAAAGCGAATGTAATAGAGTATTTGTTGAATTTAGACAACCTAGAGATTTTCTTATGAAAAAATGTGAAATCAAGCATATTTTATCTCATTGAATTGTTAATCATGGTGACATTTATGCTCTATTTAGCATCTTTCATGATGAGAAATTTTTGTTACTAGAAATTTTACATCATGTAAATAAAATAGATTTTAGTGGTTGATGCTTTTTATATTATATGCAAAACATGCAATGTAAAATTAAAACTAAGAAAAAAGTGACAGCTCAGCGCCTGTGGCTCAAGTGGCTAAGGCGCCAGCCGTGTACACCCAGGGTGGCGGGTTCGAATCCAGCCCGGGCCCGCCAAATCAACAATGATGGCTACAACCAAAAAATAGCTGTGCGTTGTGGTGGACGCCTGTGGTCCCAGCTACTTGGGAGGCTGAGGCAGGAGACTCGCTTGAGCCCCAGGTGTTGTAGGTTGCTATGAGCTGTGATGCCACAGCACTCTACCCAGGGGGAAAGCTTGAGGCTCTGTCTCAAAAAAAAAAAGGAAAACGTGACAGAAGCAGCTTTCTTCCACATACTTCAGAATCTGACTTGAGGTGAACATGTGAACATATTTGGGAACCATAGTAGACCGAGTGGTAGATGTGTCCTTCCATCATCATGTAGAGGTGTGATTTGTAGACATCCATCCTGTAGTGGGCACAGTGTATGCTCTAGGCAGGTGGTCTGTGCTGTTCCCACCTTTTCGAGTGTATGGGCCTGTGCAGGAGCCTCAGCCTCAACAAGCCTCCCTGCCGTGGGGGGTGTCGGGAAGGCAATGAAGTGAGAGGATGGGTGTCTGCAGCCTGGAGGTGAGAAGGACGGGCGTCTGCACTCTGGAAGGCAGCCTGGAGGTGAGAAGGACGGGTGTCTGCACCCTGGAAGGCAGCCTGGAGGTGAGAAGGACGGGCGTCTGCACCCTGGAAGGCAGCCTGGAGGTGAGAAGGACGGGCGTCTGCACCCT